GTTCAAAGCATGGATAACAAAGAAAGAACGTATGAATAGCATGACAAAGAAAGAGTGATGTAAGTCCCTCTAATCCCTCTAAGGAAAAAGAAAATGACTAAAAGAGTCGGCAAAGTAAGAGCCAAAAAGAGAATATGAAGTGCTAATAGAAAGATGAACCAATTCCATTCCGATATTTTCCTCCTTAATCCAAAAGCCTTCATTACATGCCGAAAAAGCCCTACGCGATTTCAAGCCGAGCGAGCTTACATTAGTGGTGATCTACATGAGGGTCAAGCATATGGTACTTAGAGCCGGGCTTGTGACATTCTTTTGAGAGTGATGAGAGAATCTTTCTCGAGTCATTGAATTGAATTCTTCATTTGTGAGTGAGATGAGCTTCCAGAGAGTATAGGAGGAGGAGTTTGGGATCCACAGTGACCTACATGAAAGTGCAAGCTTCCTTGAAGGACAAAGTCAACCCTTGATGCTCAAGCGTCACATTAAAGCCATTTGTGCTTTAACATTCAATTCATAGGCTTGTTAATGATTCATGAGTGTGTGGGTAATTGTTGGTCCCAATTGATTTGTGTTTGATTCAACTTAGGCCAGCTGAAATAGCCCTTTTCTAGTAGAGGTGGGAAATTGCCTTAATTGCTCGAGGACAAGCAAAAGCTTAAGTTTGGGGGAGTTGATAAGTAGGGATTTTGATCGCTTATTTGCTCTCTTTTACTTATATTTTAGCTCAAAAATCATTAAAGATATTTCCGAGAACTAATGAAATGTGCTTTCTTGCAGAAATATTGAAAAACGAGCCAAAAAAGTAAAAATCAACTAAAAAAGGAGTAAAATTGGACAAAAGCCAAAACAAGAAAAAAGGGCTACAATGTGGACCGCACAATACTGTGTGCGGCCGCAAACTCTGAAGATGCACTGATAAGATTTCTTCACAGAGTGCGGACCGCACAATTATTGTGCGGCCACAAAAGACTAGATTCAGAGAGCTGAAGTTTGGGAGCTTGAAGATGTGCAGACCGCACTATTATTGTGCGGCCGTAGGATGCCAAAATGAGGCCGCACTCATAAATGTGCGGTCCGCAGAATGAAACCCTGATCCAGTCCAAGAGCAAGAGTGCGGCCGCACTCAGAAATGTGTGGTCCGCACAATTAGAGAAAGTGCAGTCGCATCTCACTTTTGTGCGACTGCAGAAAGCTATACCCATCAGTCAGTCTCAAAGTGCGGACTGCACACAGAATTGTGCGGCCGCACAACCTTCGCAGGGGCAATTTTGTCAGATATTTTCAGCTGGGTATAAATAGATCTTTTTGTCATTTTTAGGTTAAGTTTTGTGCACCTGAACACTTAGAGCCATTTTTATTTACTGTATTGGAAAACTTTGTACTAGTTTAGCATTTAAACATTAGATTTTCTTTCCTTAATCAATTATTATGTATTTTATCTTATTTTCTTCTTTAATTTCTTCATTGTCCATGAGTAGCTAAACCCTTAGCTAGGGTTGTGACCCAACTCTAGTATGGGTACTTAATGGGTGATTGATTTAGGGCTTATTTGTGATTGGGTATATGAATTTTAGCCTAGTTCTTGCTTGAATTTGAGAATTGATGGTTGCAAACATTGATTCATGCCTAATTGACTTAGTCTATACTTGAGAAAGTGAGACTAAGTCTAGGAAATCTTGGCTAACAAGAAATTGGAGTGAACTCAAGTAATTGATATCCCCAATTAAAGGGTCGAATCTAGAGATAGTAAGACCCGACTTGAGCATTTATCACTTGTTTCGTGAGATACCCATTTGGACTTGAGAAAGCTGAATTGGGCAAAATCACTCAAACTACCGAGAGGTATAGAGTGAGTAATTACGTGTGATTGTTATATTATATCCCGATCAACCAAACATGCCCTAAGCTATAAATCCGTTAGGTAACCAACTAGGCGAAAGTCGCAACCCTAGATCTTTTATAGCTTGAAAAAACAACCAAAACAAAAAAAACATCGTCTCTTAGTTTTATAATTACAAGCCTTAGCGTAAAAGTAGAAGTAGAATCAAAAATTGAAAATGTGAAAGTGTAATCTTAGGCACGCCATACATTCACACTAGGTATACACCTAATCCCACATCAAGATCCCTGTGGAATCGACCCCGACTCGCATTGAATTTTTATTATTGCATCGACCGCCTCGCAACCTAAATTAGTGGTGTGAGTTTAGACGACATCAGAAATGTGCTTCATTCCTAAAGGTTTCCCAAAGTGAGGGTTGGGTATTAAACCTCTACCATCTTTTAATGTTAATAGACTTTGTAATATCATCCATCCTTCTAATACCCACGCCACCTTCCTCTTTAGGCAGACAAAAGTTCTTCCAGGCACTCCAGTGATAGTTATTTTTTCCTTTGGAAGTTCCCCAAAAGAAGTTAGCAAAATGTTTCTCCATGAGTTTGGGCACACTTTTAGGGGGATTCAAGGCAGATAGAATATATATGGGGAGAGATTGTAAAACATGTTTAATTAGGATCAGCTTGCCCCTATAGGAGAGCATTCTACCATGCCAAGCATTGAACTTCTTCACAATATTAGACAACATACCATCGAACAGAGTAGTATTTTTTCTTCCTTGATAAGTAGGACACCCCAAAGAGTTGAAAGGGAAACTTTTATCCATAAAACCTAAAACATTTCTGATCTTGTTAATCCTGCTAGCTGAGGTGTTAAGGGCAGTGATGAAGAAGCTTTTTGAATTATTAACTTTCTGGCCTGAAGCACTCTCATGCCTCCTGATCATTATCTTGATAAGTTTAATGGATTTATTGTCCCCTCCACTAAAGATAACAATATCATCGGCATAGGATGTGTGGTTAATAATGAGGCCTCTGAAATCCATAGTGAGTGGAGTAAAATTGGTCATGCCAATGAGACTGTTGAGAGATCTAGATAAAATTTCAGCTCCAATAATGAAAAAATATGGGGATAAGGGATCCCCTTGTTTGAGCCTTTGAAAAGAGGTGAAGAATCCTTTTCTAGCACCATTAATAATGATAAAATATCAGACATTATCAACCAGTCTAAAGATTAGGTCAATCCATTCTGCATTGAAACCAAACTTCCTCATAATTTCCATAAGAAGGGTACATGATATTCTGTCGTAGACTTTTGCCATGTCAAGTTTCATAATGATGTTGTCACCAGTGTTAACCTGTTTAATATTCTGGACAATCTCTTGAGAAAGCAGAACATTTTCAGTAATCATTCTCCCTGTGATGAAGTCGCTTTGATTCTCGGATATGATCTTGTTAAGCAAGGAATTGAGACTTCTAGACAAGATCTTAGAAAAAATTTTGCAAGAAAAGTTACTCAGACTAATTGGCCTGAGGTCAGAGAAAATCGCAGGAGATTCCACTTTTGGTATAAGAACCAAACAAGTATGTAAATAAAATTTGGTAAGCCTTCTACCATTGAATAAATCCTGGATAAAGTCCTACACATCATCTTCGATAATATTCCAACTTTTGTGATAAAAAAATCCCATTGTAGCCATCTGGCCTCGCTGAGCTAAAAGAACTCATGCTAAAGACAACTTCCTTGATTTCCTCATATTTAGGTATGGCACTGAGGTTGGCATTGTCCCCCTCAGTTATGCAGTTGGAGATGTAGTTAAGAATGTCATTATCTCTGAAATCATGATGCAAGTTGAAAAGGTGTTGGCAATGATGGACCGCAACTTTAGCAATGTTATCTTCCCCTTGGATCAAGTTGTCTCTATGATTCTTTATTTGATGAAGCTGAAGTTTTCTTCTTCTATCTCTGATCACACTATGAAAATAAGTGGTATTGGAATCACCTTCCTCAAACCATCTGATTTTAGCCTTCTTTTTTAACAATGTATCTTGCATTCCCATCCACCTGATATATTCAGCATGCCCTTTGTTCAGCTCTTCTCTGGATTGAGCATTGTTATTGAGAAGGTCAAGCTCCTCCAGTTCTTACATATTTTTCTAGATATTGACTTGATCAAAAACATTACCAATGACTTCTTTAGACTAGTGAGTAAGCTTCCTACTTAAGAACTTTAATTTTTGTTGTAGCCTCCACATAGGATTTCCAGTAATCTGAGTGTGCCACACTGGCACACTTCATCTACCAACTGCAAAAAATTCTGGTTGATCCTTTCAGAATTCAAGGAATTTAAAATATTTGATCCCATTATGTTGGCTATTATAGCTTTTAACAATAAGTGGTTGATGGTCGGAGCCAGTTCTAGCTAAATGCCTCACCATATTATGTTGAAACAGTTGAGACCATTGACCATTAATGAAGACCCTATCAAGTCTTTTCCAAATCTTTTTTCTAGGCTCTCAATTGTTACACCATGTGAACTTGGGCCAACATACCCCAATTCTACAACTTCACACGCAGCCATACAATTGTTGAAATCTAGACTTTTATACATTCTATGAGGTCTACCCCCTTTCTTCTTTTCAGGATCCAGAATAATATTAAAATCGCCACCGATGTACCATGGCCCAATAATCTGTGCATTTTGCATAAATAACAGTAAGAAAGAGATTGCAATTAGCATTGATATAATTAATTTGGATAGTGATCCGTTGGTCGTCATTAGCAATAACACTAGTTTGATAGTTACCAAACCACATAAATCAAATTTGACCATTAGTGTTGGAGATACAATGTTGTAAGCCAAGATAATTCATGTACCTTTCAATTTTTTTCATGGTGATGAAGAGTTCCAGGATAGAAACGAGTTCCACCATGTTGATGGTCATAAGTTATTTTAGCCTTTGAATGGCATTTTTAGAATCCATATCTCTGATATTCCAGAAAATGATGTTAACCATGGAAAAAATCAGTGGGGGATTAGTTTTTGTTACTTCTATCTCCTGGAAGGTTAGCCGTGACTTTTTTCTTCTTCCCATTTTTTTGTTTCTGTCCTTTCCATTTTTAACAGGAGAGAAGTCATCCTCGTTAGCTTGATTCTTTTGTTCTATTTGGAGTAGATCTTCAAGAATGGTAACCGTGACTCTATTTGGAGAGGTGACCTCAAAATGTTACTCTACTCCCTTCCTTTCCTGCTCTGCCTCTGGTTGCTTTTGTGCTGGATCCCAATTAAGATCAACCACCAAGTCAAGCCTTGGCATGGCCTTAACCTTAGATGGTATACTTGAGGACCTCTCTGAACTTACATGGGTCGTGTTACATTACCTCTGCCCTCTACATTTATCTCATTTTCATGGTTATTGGTAGAGTCTTGGACGACCTCATTAGAACTGTAGGTGGCATCCTTCTTTGGACACATGCTTTCAATAGTATTTTCCTGCCGGCCATTATTATCTTTATCTTCATTGGAGTCATTCTTAAGGTTCCCTGCTTGTTTCTTTTCAATCTCTTGTTCACAATGTTGCTCGATAACCCTTGCCAAATTACTTTGTCCCTCTTTATTTTTACTTGCAGGTTGCTGGATGATGGATTTAAACACCACTTTGAATTTTTTCTTAGGGAGCCTCTTTTGCTTGCCCGCCTTCTTCTCTTTAGAAGTCCTTGCATTGATGGTTTGATTTTGCTGTTGCACACTCTGTTCTTCATTGTTCAAGACAATTTGATTGTTGCTATTAGAATTGTGAGCACCTAATTTTTGATCATATTTAAATTTTTACCACTTTTTAGTATTTAAATAGTTTTTAAGTTTAATCTTAATATTTTAGTTTTATTTCACCTTTTTATAGGTTTATTTTAGATAAATTAAAAACAACAAAAATAGTCACAATTTTACATATTAATTGTGCTCGTTATCAAAAGAAAGAAAAAGGTTTCAAAAATATTTTTTTAACGGGTCTACTCTATTTTTTTCAAGTTAAGGATTTTAATAAATGAAATTTGAGTAGTTAGCATTTTTTTTTTTATCTTTCTATATTAATCAAGTAGGAGTAGTATTTTATTGTATTAACTAATAGAAAGAAAGAAAAGAAAATCAACAAAAAAGGAAACCAAACAAGAATTGTCACATGTCAAAGATTCCCTCTTATCCTTAGTAATAAACTTTGGCACAATTTCTCACCTGCACATACACACTTGCATATTTCTTGCTCTCCAATTCTTCTCCTCTCGACCATTTTCACTACATATAGAGAGCAACACAACAAAGAAAGGGAGAAAAAAATCAGAAACCTAGCATCTTTCTTCCACCTAAAATACACCCTTCAACACCCAAAAACACAACAGTAACTCCTCACCAAAACCTCATCTTTCTCATGTCATTTTCATCACCAAAACAACCCCTTTTGCCCCAGCCAAAAACCAATCCAAAAGCAGCCATAAAAACTCATTAAAGCAACTCCAAAATGAGCTCCAAATAATCATCAAACTCCACTTGAAATCTGCCGCAAAACCTCTCAAAACTCAGCAGTAAAACGGCCACCAAATAGCTGCACAAATACCCCCTTTTCCACTTTGAAGCAACCACAAAACGTCATTAAAATCACCCCTGCAAAATCAGCTCCCTTCCACCTTAAAACAATCCCCAAAAATGCAGCAAAATCAGTTGCGAAATCAGACTAAAAATGAGCTGAAAAGGGGGACTAAAATCCAGCCCCAAAAAGCAGCGAAATTAGCTCCAAAACATCTCAAAATCAGCCCCAAACTCAACCATGAATCACCTCTAAACTCCAGCAAAATCCAGCCATGAACTCCACAAAATTACAACTGCAAAACAGTCCTAAAAGCCAGCCTTCCACCTCCAAATACCACCGCTAAAGTTGCTGGATCGGGGCTGTTTAGGTCAAAGTTGAGGTCCATGTCGTGGTTCTCGGGTCGAGGTTTTGTTCGCAATTTTGGTGTTGTCGCCGGATTCCATTTCTACTAGCTGAACAACTATTTTGTTGAATAAGATCTTGCTCAAATAAAGGTCCATCCTCTACTCTACTATTTCTATTAGGCCACACACTTGCTCTTATTTGTCATAAACTGTAAGCACCTAATTTTTTTTATCATATTTAAATTTTTCACCATATTGTAAATATATTTTTTTGAATTTAATCTACATATTTTAGCTTTTATTTTACCTTTTATAGATTTTATTTAAGAAAATTAAAAATGATAAAAAAGAGTAATATTTTTAGGATAAGTTTTATCTTCACTTACAAAGAAAGAATTGTTTTTCAAAAAAAGAGATATAGTTTTTCTTTAATTTAGTGCAATTTTTAAGTTTAGAGACTTTCAACAAATACATTAAGTATGTAGTACTTTTACCTTGTTATTTTAATTTAGTAGAAATATTAATTTTACCTTTTATTCATTATCCATTTTAAAAGAAAAAACAAAACAAAAAAGAGAATAAATCACTTTTGGGATATAACATTTTAGTAACAAACTTTGTCTTACCCAAAAGATTCCCTCCACTCAGGTCACTCACATGCTCACACCAGCACTCACTCTTTCTTGCTCTCCAATTCACACCCCAAAAATACTCCCATTCAGCTATATAAACACACACACACACCAGAGAGGAACAGAGCAGGGGACGGACAAAATTAGACCAAAAAGGCAGCAAGCTTTCTTCTTCTTCCACAGAATTTCAAAAAACTTATCTCCCTCACTTGGCTTCACTATAGAACCATTGTTTACTCCTAAAAATCAGTCATGAAGTCCCAACTCAAAACCATCCAAAACACCATCGTTTACAGCTGAAAAAACGCAGCAAATTAGCCATGAAAACAAAGCTGAAAACCAACCAAAACTCACCCCAAAACTGACCCCTCAACAGCCATATAAGAGCTCCAAAAGACCAGCCATTTTCACCTCAAATTAGGCCTCAAAACGCAGCTGAAAAAGCTGCTAAAAATGCAGCAAAAACAGCTCTAAAACTCAACCAAAACTCAACTGAAAAACAGCACTAAACAGTCCCAAAATCAGCTCCAAACGCAGTCCATAACCACCCAAAAAACGATCTGAAAAATAAGCTGAAACTCCATGAAAATCAGCCCCAAAAACGCTTTCTTCTTCCTCCAAACAACCATTAAAAGCGGCAAAACGCAGCTGCCAAGTTCACCCAAAAACAGTCCCTTGCTCATCGTCGAAACGGAGAATACCGGCGCATTCTTGATTATCGTCGGAAGTCGCTGTTCGAAGGGGTGAATGTTCGAAGGTTCTGGCCTGGTTTCCAGTCGGGTCTGTTCGTGTTTAGCTTCGTCGGCCTAATTTTCTTTGTAAACCGGCAGGAGGCTCTTTGATAAATTGAAAGCTATAAAAGGTCCATTTTCTTGCACTTGCAACTTTATTTTTGTCTTCTCAACTTTGCTAGCCGGAGCAATGTCTTAGATCCATTTTGTTTTCTTTGGTGTTAATATATCTTCGTAATGACGTTGCTTGTTTTCTTGATATTTAATTATCCGTTTGTTTGGTGCTACATTGATGTGCAAGACCATTGGGTAAAAACGTACAATGATAAGGTAAAAAGAGATGTAAATGGGTTTCAATTCTATTAGTTTTTGTTATTATATTCGTTGGATTATCACTGATATTTCATGCTATATTTAGTTTTTATAAAAAATTGATTTTGTTCGCAATAATCTCTTTATGTTCATTAGACTCTTAAATTAATTATTTGGAGTAATGACAAAATTTGCTGACTTGACCCCTTTGACTCTTCAAATGACGAACCATCTGATTGTAAAAGGAAATATATGGGCCATAAGGTTTGGGGTGAGAATTAACTTACTTTGGGTCGCTCGTGTTGTTAGGGGGCATTTGCATCTATACCCAATTTTTGGGTCACCTTTTAACTTATACCCATTTTGCAAAAAATAATTGTAAGCGTACCCATTTTTTGGGTAACTTCAGACATACGGGCCTGAAGTAGCAAAAATTTATGTCTGAAGTTTGAATTTCAGAATGTTTTGCCTGCAGCGTAACCTTATCAAAGTAAAACTTCAGATATTTTTGCCTGAAGTTTGGCCTGACTTGCAAAGGCAATCACGCAAATTTCAGTTCATAGTGCAATGACAAACTTCAGTTCAATAAAACAACATCATTTTTTGGCTGAAGTTTTTGTTTTGTAATTGCTGAACTTCAGCATTCTAGGAGCTGAAGTTTGTTTTGTATTTGCTGAACTTCAGCATTCTAGGAGCTGAAATTTTTGTTTATATTTGCTGAACTTCAGCTCTTTCTCTTATGTCTTTCTTTAAAATATAACTTAAGCCAAATCTAGTTTGTATTTCTAGGAGCATGCATTCTCGAAAATACGTTCTCTTGTTTCTGGCCATACATTAATTTCTTTTTCTCCTCATTATTATTTTTTCAAACTGTTTAATATTTGCATCGTTATATAGAATCGGAAGTAGTGCAGTAGAAGAAGAACTAGAATTTTTCAAGCTATATATATATATATATATATATATATATATATATATATATATATATATATATATATATATATATATATTGATTTGAATGTTGTATGAAAGTTGAAAAATAGTTGTATAATGTATAAATCGTTGTATAAAATTTGTATTTAAGTTATCAATACTATCTTTTTACATAAAGTTGTTGATATATATCAAAATTGTATTAAGAGAGAATGTTTTGATTGGGATTTTAGAGATGAAGAAGCACATACCACATACAAAATATATACACACAAGACATATTGTATAATTTTTTTATGAAATTTGTATTTAAGTTGTATGATGTTGTAGATGTATTTTAACTGGTAAAAATAATATATGAAAGTTGTAGATAAATTGTAGATAAGTTGTAAATAAGTGTATACTATATAATTAGTTGTATGAAATTTATTTTTAGTATGTATGAAAGTTATAGATAAGTTATAAATAAGTTGTATATTATATAATTAGTTGTATGAAATTTATTTTTAGTATGTATGAAAGTTATAGATAAGTTATAAATAAGTTGTATATTATATAATTAGTTGTATAAAATTTATTTTTAGTTTATATGCTATTATAGATGTAACAAATTTATATTAAATTTGTACGAAATTTATTTTTAATTTATATGTTATTGTACCATACATTACGGTCATCATATTATTGAACGTAAAATAGAAGATTTTAAGTTGCTATAAATTCAAAAATAAAAAGTCATCACTATTTGATGTACTTAAAATAGTGTCAGATAAAAAGAAAGATATTGATAATATAATTCTCTTTAGAATTTGGATTAATAGTATTTGGCTACTGACATAATGAATGTCAATGCCAGAGAGACTGAAAGAAGGGGAAAAGTCCAAACGAAATTATATGAGGGAGACAGACAGAGAGTGTAGTAAAACATGTGAATAGCACGCACTTTTGTGACTGGAGCAAGTTTCATATATTTTTGGACGAGTTTGTGTTTAGCTTAAAATAGGTAATCCACAATTAGAAGGGATCTTATTGAAAGATAAGAGGAGAGAAAAAAGGAAAATTGTGTAACTTAATCCCTAATTTAAGGTACTAATAATGGATTGTATATAAATTATAGGTAAATCTTATTTAGGGCGGATAATTTTCAAAACTAGGACAATTTTGGTAATAAGGTTTCATATAGTGTATAGGAAAGAAAAAATCTCTAGTTCAATTAAGCTAGCCCACATTTTCATAACTAATTTACTACATTTCTTCCACAATAAATTCCATACTCCATG